CGTCTGCAGCGACGAGTCCAAGAGCTCGTCGGATTCGCAGTCGTCAGATTCCACCATGACAGAGACCAGAATAAGAAGACTGGAGAACTCGGATGTCGCCCACGTTGCCGGCGGCGTGATGAGGAGCAACAGCGAGGTGAGGAGAGCCATCGAGCGCAACGCCCTCCGGAGATCCCTCATCCGATTCTCCGAGGCGCGCAAGAAGGACACCAACAAGAATGAGAGGAATGAGAAGGGCGAAACGTCGCTGCTGGAGAAGCTGAAATGGCTGACAGCCTCGGAAGACGCGACCAATGGGAATAATGAGGACAGAGAGGGCGAGGACGGCGAGGATGCGAAGACCGAGCAAGAGAAGCCGAAGGAGGTGGACCCGAAGGTACAGGAAACCATTGCTCAATACCGGAAGCTCGCCGAAATGTTTAACAAGACGACGTCACTTCGAGCAAATGACATCTTGGTTCCAGGAGACGTCCGCGAATGGAAGCTGCAGGCCGATTTGTTCCCTGAGAAAAAAGACACTTCCATCGAAAAGGAACCGGAAGAGATGAGCGATGCTCCTTCGGGCTCCACGACGCCCACCGTGTTCAAGGCTATCCCCGCGGTGTCGCTTGCTGATCTCATCACTGATGAAGAAAATGACAAGCTAATATACAGTGGCGGCGTGAGGTACACTCGCGAAGGAACGTTGCCAGCTGCAGAAGAAGGTGGAGAGGAACAGGAGGAAGGAGAGCAACAGGAATCTTCATCCACCTCGTCGGTAGCAGATGCCAGAAAGCAATTCCTTTCGCAGATGGCAAACCATCCATCAGTGCCACTTGTTAATGGAGTAGCCACTCACTCACGAGACAGGTCATCCATTGCCTCAAATTCTGATTCATATACATTTGATGACATTGACGAAGCCTTGCACGATGACCGCTCCTCCTCGGTACCTTCCTCCTCGCAGTCGTCCCCCCGGCTGTCTGGCAGGAGCGATGTCGATGGGACGAGCACCACCGAGAGCGGGTACAGCAGCAATGAGACAAACGGGGAGCTCTGTCCTGTCAACGGATTGCCAATGACAGGAGCACAACTTCTTGGATTACCTGCAAGTGGCATTGACATAGATGAATTGGCAGAATTTGTCCGGCAGGATGCTGGAAGGATTGAGCGTCTTCGCAGGAGGTATGACGCTGGGGAAGTGGAGGATCATGGCTTTAATCGGCGGCCGTCAGTAAGAGGGATCAAACCAAGGTTTGGCTCTACCACAGATTTACTGAAGCAGATGGCTACACAACTGGCTCCACCAGCGATGGCTCAGCCAGGTATGGCAGGATCCCATATGACTTGGCCATACAGAGAAAGTGGAGAGGAGGACGGTTCTGTTCCTCAGAGGCGGAGAGCAGCTCCAAACAGAGCAGTTCTTCCAGCACTGCAAGAAGATATACTGTATGTGCCTACATCTGACCTTTCTCCACAAGCAGCTCCACCGTCAGTATCCACAGCTGTAGCCACCCCCACTTCACTCACGCACACAAAGACTCCACGTGTGGTCCATGTCTACTCTAGCACAGGTGACCTAAGAGCTCCACCGCCACCTCGGCTGATCGCTCCAAGAGAGTCTCCTCCTCCAGACTTGATTCGCCCCGGGGCCACTCCAGCTCCACCTCGTGCTCACAGCCATGTACCAATGCCACATCATGGCTCTGTGCAGAGTCTGGGCATGCCTCCGCAAATGCCAGCACCAAATGTACACGACCATCATTATCAAACTTGCAGAAGACCTGCATCCGTGCATGGTCATGTGCCAGCTGATGCTCTTGTGACGAGGGGAGTACTTCCTCCGCCTGTTGCACGTCCTCATTCCACACTCTCTCACTATCCTCCTCCGCGTGTCCCCGCTCATTATCACCCCTATGAAGAGCCTCCACTTCAGCGTGCTCCATATGATGGTGGACATCCACCTCTGGCTCAGCGTGGATCTTACCCGGGTACAATACCTCCTCCACAGTATCATCAACAGATGCTTCAACCAGATCTGGGAAGATACCCCAGTCCTCCCAGTTATGGATCACAACACCCACATTCACGTCCTCCAGTAGCCTCACCACGAGAAGGGGTGCCTTACTCACGCACACCACATCCACAGGCACACCCTCTTCCTCAGGTATCTCCTATAGCCCCAGGACCAGTCCAGGTGCACCAGTGTGGCCCAAGACACCCTCCACCACCGAGAATGGTGGGTGGGACAGTGACTGAACAAGCTTGTTCAACCGTATGGTCACATCATCCACCACCACCCCACATTCACCAAAGCTACCCACCTCACCCAGTGTCTAGTCACCTGAGTTACACCACACCTATTGTGCCCGAAAGTGGTATATCTGTCAGGCCAAGCGGAGCTGTCATTGGTCCTCCTATAGGTCCTCCCATTGGGCCGCCTCTCATTAATGGGAATGTCGGGAAACTAGAAGGCCTGAGAGATGAGCGGGGGGTCCCAGAGGGAGCATCATCATCTCCACGAGGTCCAATAGACCCCCAGTATCCTCCTTCTCACACTTCTCCAACCCATGAAACAAACATCCTTCACAGGCATCCCCCACCACCGATGAACATGACCTGAGAGATTCCTGATCGTTCTGGTTTCTGAGTTGCCCTGTGCAGTCAAATTGTTGCCTAGCTAAGTTCGAGTCTTGGCACCAGGCTGAATTTCATCCCGGTACTGGCTGGTCCAGCCCGGAACACAAGGCTATGAACCAGAGGGACCTAAGGCACTGTTGAGAGACTTTGATCAAATAAAAATGCTCATTAATTGAACTTCTATAAAATATTCTTTTGTAGTTTAAAAGTGTAGGATAACCATGTACTCCTTCGTGTTGGCACATGTTCTGACATTGTCTTCCCAGGTGATCTATGACATGCTATAATGTTGCCAAATGGTTTGTGACCAAAATGCCAAAATTGTTGACAGCATACAGATTTTACGGTACTTGAAGCTATTTTATTACAAACGTGATGGGAAAGGACAATCCTAGTTCATTTTTTTCTTACCCTAATAACTTAATGTACTTTATATAATGTTTCCTGTAGGGTGCATGTGATAAGATGTAGGTGTTCTTTAAAATTGTTGTGGATGGAAGAAATTTTGTATAATGGATTGTGAAGTCTTGCTCATGAGGCAAATGAATGTTGAGACATCTTTTTATCAGTGGTCCCAGGTGCAGTGATATACATAATTTTGTTATTATTATTTTTTTTATTTTTTTATTTTTTGCTTTTTTGGTAGATTTAAGTGACATATAATATACATATAGCCCTGTCAAATGTATAATAATGGGTACCAAGTATTTCATAATTCTATATTTCAGCAGTCAGACATAATGATATATAATATTTAGATACGTATATGAGGTTTTTGTACCTTATAGAGAGAGAAAATAATGTTTTTGATAGTTTGAATTAACTGTTTTTGCTTACATATTTAGTAAGTTAGGTCAGGTCAAATATGTGAAATATTTTTTTTAGGTATAGATATTTCCAGTTCAAGTTATCAAACAATTGCAGCTTAAATAACATCATCTTATTTTCTCCTGATTTTACACATATTGCAGTATACTTTTCATAAATCTGACATTTTCTCGGAAGAGAAAATGTCTTGATAAAGGTCTGTTTCACTCTTTAGCATGTTACTGGTTATTAGCTTTAATGATTTCATCACCATTCAAAACGGCAGCATTAACAAACGTCTTCCAAGGTTGCAAGTTCAGCCATCAGCCCATCAGGTCAGTCACTTGTTGAGACAGTAACAATCAGTTCATCTGTGTTGCACAGTGATCAAACCTCGGGTGCAGGATTTATTTACGAGACTTGTCGATTCGTCCCATTTCGAAAAAAAAAACTTTCCATTCCCCCCCTTGAGAAAAAAAGACGAATCCTGCACCGTTTTCCTTTATCTTTATTTATCCAAGTCGCTCTATTTTCCACTGATAGGAAAATAGCACTGCGACGCCGTTTAACTTACTGAAAACACTGAAGAGACAGATGTGCTGAAGCATCACTGCCGATGTGGATTTTACGATGTGTAAAAAAAAAAAGACTCGTGTCTTGCTCACAAATTAGAGAATTGTTCAAGGATGACTTCTAATAAGAGTAAAACAAAACTAGATAAATTGTAGAAAATGGAAGTTAGGGTGGGATAGATGTTTTTATTCTTTTTAGTTCCAAAAGGTAGTTTTTCGTAGTTCGCTGAAACTGCATAGTAAAATGAGTAATCATTAGCACAACTGTTTCATGTATTTTCTGCCAGAATCTAACTTCTTAAATTGCAGTTTCTCACTGTCGATGAATAATGAATAATCAAATGCAAAACCAAAGACTAGGTTTAGGAAACTTAATTTAGTCTGGCAAAAAGACCAAAGTTTTTTTTTTGTTTTTATTTCATTATTTTCACTTTTTTATTGTCAGTATAAATGTTCATACGTTAAAAAAAAAAAGATATTCACTTATTGCTGTACCTGGGATCCAGCAGTATATTTCAACAAGTTAGGGGTAAGATGCACATACGTGGGCCTTTCATCTATCAACAGCAAGTTACATCAGTGAATTGGGAAAACTGATATCAGCTTTTGCATTAAGTAAAAGGGAAAAAAAAGGGAATGACTCTTTCTCCAAGATTTTCTGCTCCTCCCCCTCACACACAAAATATGTGTATTTTGGATTCAGACGAAAAAAATATATAGTTTTGATATCGTATTCCTTGATTTTTTTTTCTGAAACTGCTGTGACTAGATTTGGTCCCATAATCGGCTGAACCAGATTGTGCCAAGTAAATAGGTCCGATATTTAAACTCAAAAGAAAAAAAAACATTTTAGTCACATGTACTTGAAAGAAAAATACAAACAAACAAACAAAAAGTTATAGTGAATATGTAATAAAGGCCTTTTTTGAAATAACGGAGCCTTTCTCTTCTTTTTTCAGGAAATTATATATATACATATATATTTCATGAAACCACTTCAGAAATATCAAAAATGATCAGGATAAATCTTCGGTTGCTAGTGTACATTATAATAGTATTTTAGGTTTGCTCATTTCATAGCGAAGTCTTCAAGTGTTAACTCCCAAACCATCACCAATGAAGTCCCAGTCTTTCCAGAGTAAATATTTTTTCTTCGTGTGTGAATAAATTGCCATTGCTTTTATTAGGTCTTAGTATATATATATTTTTTCTTTTTCTTTTTTTTTACTTTTTTATTACTCTTTTGAGCTGCATCGTGTATTTTTGAACAATTCCCAACGATCGTTATCAATGTGATTACCTATTGGAATATGGGGAAATGTTTATTTTCCTAGTTTTCAGTACAAATTATCCAGTATTAATAGTTCCAACATATGTTTAAAAAATAAATAAACAAGTTTGCCTTCTAGAACTAGTTCACAAACAACATTTCTGATTTCTCTGATTTCCGATTACCGATTCTTCTTTCACGGGGCAAAAGGATTTTCAGTGGTGCTAGGGTTAAATCAAGTGACAAATAGAAATGTTAAGAACTCATTGAAGACACATGCATGGCGTTAGGGTGTCCATCATTGGCACGCACACAATAATAGCAATTGGGCACAAGTTTCATATTCACCATATTGCCATACGGTATTTATAGAGCTTTATTTTCATGAAGAACGAATATTACAAATATTAACAGCAGCAGAATGTCAGTTTAAAAAAATAATAATAAAAGAAAGGTTGCTTTGTACTCTTTTTGACTACTATACAAAAAGTACTGCAATTGTGTTCATATAGTGTGTATGTTCTGCTAGATGCAAAATGAAAGACTTGACTGAATGTTTTTTGATAATGAATCATGGCTAATCTATGCCAAAGATGTATTATAGGTAGAGATTCTAAACTATATAAAGACATTTATTATGTATGAACTTTTATGTACAGTATAATAATTTTAATCTTTATTATATACATACATATATATTAACACACACACATAAATTAATTGATACGCGTACATACACATAAAATTATGTAGACTTGTATGTACATGCAGATTTACACACATTCACACTCACACACACACTCACACTCGCTCTCTCATTCACACACATATACACACACACACTCACTCTCTTTCACACACACACACCACACACACACACACACACACACACACACACACACACACACACACACACACACACACACACACACACACACACACATTCATTCATATATACATACACATTCATACATATACAAATATACACACAAGTATTCATATATACGGGAAGATAATACAAATAAAGTATATATATATGTATATATATGAAATGTATTGATATCCAGAGGTAAAAGGACAGAATTGCTAAATATTTTTTCATATTTTACTATTAAAACATCAAGTTTAGTTTGCCATTCAAAATCTGCTTTACAGTATGGGGCTAATGAGTAAACATGTTTCACTGTCTAAAAAAACTATGTCACCAATAGGTAATGTTAACTGCAATTTACTTAAAACATCATTTTGGTGACTTTGCCCCTTAACCTCTGGGTGTCTCATATATATATATATATATATATATATATATATATATATATATATATATATATATATATATATATATATATATATATATATATAATATATATATATATATATATATATATATATATATATATATATATATATATATTATATATATATATATATATATATATATATTATATAATATATATATATATATATATATATATATATATATATATATATATATATATATATATATATATATATATATATATATATATATATATATATATATATTAATATATATATATATATATAATATATATATATATATATATATATATATATATATATATATATATATATATATATATATATATATATGTCTTCATATATATGTTTATATTACTTTATATTTATACATATACATGATATACAGACAGACATATACATATATATACACAAATAAACTTGAGTGTATGGAGAAAATATACATGCCATGAGTACTACAGAACCTGCAATATCCTGTTGCAATAAGTCTGAAGAGGAAAATGCATATTGCACATGGAGCCAAAAACAGGTCTCTCGGTAATACATAATCCCATTAATCCCATAACGTAGACTAGAGACTGTCTTTCGTGAGCCAGTGAGGTGATTATTGACGTACGACTACTGTTTTTATGGAGTAATGGCAAGACCAGTTATTTTGGCCTCTGTGTAGGCTAACTTTGACTATTAATTTACCGTCTTAAGATATATTAATTAAATCTTTATTAATCATCACAGTTAGTCATTTTATACAAATGGTGAATCTGCTGATGATGCTTTTTTAAACCTGGTGAACATCAAATTTCCTTCCCAGTATGATGGGGAATTCAGGGCCTCGAACATGGTGAATGGGGTACATGACCCATCAGCGCCGGGCGAACACACTTCAGACCAGGGCCATATGTACACTTGTGGGAGAAGTGGTTTGCTGCAGAT